TTTTTTAGACCTTTATTTTATTTATCATTTTTATGTGGTGCTGAGGATTGAACCTGGTGCCTCACACTTGCCAGGCAATGCTCTACCCCTGAGCCACAACCCCATCCGTCAGGATATTCACTTCTTAAATGCATTTCTAGCCATCAGTTTTTAACCTTGATCACAGCAGTTGTCATAGCCATCTAAATTGCCTCTCTATGTCTCCATCTCCCCTCTAGTCTGAGAACTCTCTAAATACAGCAATTGTGTTTTCTCATCACTAAAATCCCTGAAGTCTCACCAATTTCCTGCAATATCATTGGAGCCTAATAAATATTTCTTGAATGTTGATTGCTATTGAATAGAGATAGGAGAAGCTGAGATTAACATTTGTTTAGTGTTTACTTTATATTCTTGCTTCAAATTCAGGAGCCTAATCTTTGTTTTATTCTTTAGTGGTTTGTAATAATAATGCCTCTTAGTGTTTTAGAGTTAACTATGTTCTTTACTTTTGGTTTAAAATACATTTCTTTTCCATATAAAAAAAGGGCCTTCTCCTTCCCTACTTATAAGAATGTTTATTTTAAAAGTAAGGAACACACTGTTATAAACTACTCAAAATTCTCTCATGTGAAAGTGTTAAAAAGTTTTTTATTTATGTCTTTATTCACATATATGCTTGATTCATGTTCTACTAATTGTATTAATTATTAAGTTTGGTTTCAGAAAACTAGAGAGACTGTTTTGCTGTGTTGCTTTCTACTTTGTTGGCCATGAAGATATGTGTTAAATTTTATGTCTTATTGTAAAATATAACAAAAAAACTATGTTTATTCTCCAAATATTTGATGTGTCCTGGATCACTTTTTCATGGTTGTCTTTAAAGTTTAGAAATGCTTCTTCACTGTTTGAACTACTGTATTTGAAAATTGGATACATGATTTCACTCTTTCTCATAGTTTTAGATTTTTTTTAACTGAAAACACTTTACTCTTTTTTAAATACAGTATTATATAAGCAATATGCTCACACAGACATCCTTGAGCCTTACATCGTCCTCACCCTTCTCCCCTTCTCCCAATTACAGGAGACTTACAATTAATATTTTATTCATTTCAGCAATTATTTGAATGTTTTATAAAAATGCATCAATAATCAGGGAAATTAAATACTAATTTGTAGTAAAAAAAATAGGCTAAGCTGCTTAGCTGAATAGGCTAATATAAGCTGATATATCTTTGGATTATTATCCTGGGATAATTAATGGCCAAGTAGAAGTAGCGGTAAAGAGATTAAAACCTTTCACAAAACTCACTACAGGAGACAAATTACAGTGTTCCAAAATTGTTTACACGTGCTTTTTTGCATCACCCAGTTCAAATTGTCTGCTATTCCTAAATAACTTTTGAGTGGGTCTAGCTAACATTATTAATCAATAACAATTAATTTATCTCAGTTAATCTACATTGCTTTCAAATTACTTGCTTTAATTAATTTATATAAATATTTATTTAAACACGTTGTTTATAAATTGTCAATCATGACCACACTTCAGTTATGGGTGAGGTCGGATGACTAGCATAGAAAGAAATTCTGTGTATGGACTGATGGGGAGGGGGTGTGTGACTGTGTTCTGTTTTGTCTATTTAAGCTGAGTATCAGTTGGTGATGTTATTTCATAAGAATTCAGTTTCAGTAAGTGAATAAAATGTAAAATGTTTACATTTTATGTTATGTTAAATATAATGTTTATTTTTTCTCAATACAGGTATAATAATGGCTAATTCACACAAGGTTGTTAATGAAAGGCTCCCAGATATTATCTCTCCCCCTAAAAATAGCTGAAAATGCATTTATTTTGTATAGTCTTCTACAAATCAAATTCATAGAAATCAAGCAGGAACACTTGATCACTGGTAACTGCTCACATTCTTGAGTCAGTTTGGTTGTGAGTCAGTGAAAGATCTGAGCTATAGGGATACCCTCAAATGCACAAGCAGCCCCCTACTTTGCCTTATAATATGTGAGAAGGGGACTTGAACTTTGTGATCAAGTACCCTCTTGAATTAATCTAAACTTCTTACACTGAGTTTGACAATAGAAAGTTATTAAACAAAATAGATTTCTTACATAGAGTGGGGAGTTGGTCCAATCCTTTCCTTTTACAAATAAAAAACTTGAAGTCTGTAATGATTAAATGGTATTTATAGAATTACTCGGCCAAGTAGTGGCAGAACTGAACTCAAACAAGGCCTCCTGTCTTCTGGAAAGGGCTCTGTCTATGACACCATATTATTATAGCCATTAGAAGAGGCCACTAAAAGACACTTGCTGTACAATCCAAAAAACAGCTCATTATTTAAAAAGTTCTAAGATAAAAAGTATGGAAGAGCCAAGAACTTAGAGAATTAAAAAAAAAAAAAGAACATTAAATCACTGTATCTTTTCAATAATTGCGCCTGTCACTTTTAGACAACAAGGTAATTTGACTGGTTCTGTTTCATGTATGTTAGCTTATTTTTTCCAGCAATATCACTTCCATAATAACCTAATGTCATTTCTTGAGTTTTTTCCCTTAAAAACGTGTCTGTAGGCAGGGAAAATGATTTGTAGTCTCTGGAGTGAACTGCAGAAGAATAGATTTCCATTACAATGGCCCTATGACAAGTACAATGTGTTAATTTCACAGAACACCCTGCCAACATAAATGACCAGGTCTCAAGAGTCCTTTTAAATGGTAGTCTCTTGGTACTATGTTGCTCAGAGCACAAGCCTGAGAACAGAGAGAAAACTGTTCTGCAGATACTGACTTTGTATGGTAAAAATCACCCATGACATGTTTGCTTATTTCTCTGATATAATACAAAATGTATATTTGGATTGCTTCTACATTATTATAATAATACCTTACTTCAGTAAAAAGACAACCACTTAAAACTAAGTCTTACAACTCTCAAAGTATAGTGATGCTTTAATTAATCACATACAATCATATATTCCCAGATGCCTCATATGAATGCTACCATCAGTAGAAAATATTAATACTATATATAAGTTACCATGATAGATCTGCACAACTTTAACAAATTTAAAAAACAATCACTTTGTTACAAAGCCAATTGACCAAATTTGTCCAATGCAGCAAGTCCAGGTGGCACAGAGAAGCTGGAAAAGTCTTCATAAGAAATAAAAATAATTAAAGTGCTGAGCATGAGGACTATGGGAAAATGTTAAAGGAAATTGTATTATTTAGGGCAGAGAAGACAAGTCTGGAGCATAATTTAATAACTACATTCATATAACATGTTCCCTCTTGATAAGTACAATAACAGCATATGCAAAGTACCAAATTACTTCCAGGCTTTAGAACATATTCAAACATTTTTCTCATTTAACTCAGCTTAAGTCTTGCTCCGTAAGAGTGAGAGCAGGCATGGGTGTATTTCACTTTGGCAGTATGACACAAACTTTATGCAGTTCTTTCAAATTAAATTTCTCCACTGTTTCTAATCCACATCGTAGTGACTCTTTTGCTTTATGGCAGAGTCTATCAATACATTTAATGTGGGCAATGTTCTTTAAGCCAGTGTGTAATGAAATGTCTGTAGTTTAAAGGTTTAAAAAACTTATCCTTGCACTATGAGTCAGTCTTCCACTTGCTTCCAATTTACTATAGAATGTCAGATGATAAAGGACCTTGGTATCCTAGCAACAGGTGCTTTTTTTTTTTCCTTTTCATACATTAGTCCTTAGAGGTTTTCCCTTGGAATGCTGCTCTTGGTGGTATCGAGCAAAGCTGGCCTATGTGGAAGAGCAAGCATGAAGCGTAAAAAGGAAAGCATCTTTAAGTGTGTGTGTGTATGTGTGTGTGCATGCACACAGCTTGGGTATAAGCATTCCCACATGTAAATGTTACAAAGAAAAAACATTCAGCATCAATATTGTTGTCTTTATAGAAAATATTTTGATTTCCAGATAGATGCTTTATTCAGACTTTCAAATACATTTTGCAAAGCAGATAAAGTTTCAGATGACTGTACAAAGCTGCCACTCATTGTGGTGTTTATTTCTAATTGTTGCATAGATGCCTCTTCAAATAGTATGTTGGAGGTCTGACAAATTTATTGTTTGATGACTGCCAGACTCACAAAAGGAATAGTTTTAAAAAAAATCAACTGTCCTTGTTATTTTTTTCTTTTCATAACATTCACTATTTTGTCTACAGATTCAACTACATTTAAAGGTTTAAAAACTAATTTTCTATCCTTTAACTTTGGAGACTTTAAAAATTCCTATGAAAATGTGGTAAGGGAGAAATTTGACTCATATTTATAACCAGATGTATTTGAAAACTTGTTTGTTCTATAAAAATTTATAATTTATTTTCCATGTGTTTTTCTTCACATAGCTATTTCAGAAATATATGATCTCTGAATACTTTTCTTATTAAGAGAGCACATCAGAAGACTTCCAGAGTCTGACAACAATTTACTTTGCAATTGATAAAGCAAAAAGAATCTGTATGGATTGTTTCCATGTCAGAATGATCACACCAATCTAAGGTAAGAGCTACACCTCTGAGTGTTTCAGGCCAAGAAGGTTTGTACTGTATGTTTTTTTCCATAATATTTGCTTTAGTTTTTCAGGAATATTATTATATCTCAGGAAATGAGACATCTATATGTCGTTTAAATGCATGACCTATGCAGTTTGTTTGAAATGATGTTTTTCTTCAGCTGAGAGAAAGGAAAATGCTAGAACTGAGTTTAACATTCCATTGACTTGGAGCAAAAATATTTTTGTCTTTTCTTTCACCAAGAGTGAGTAAGTAATAGAAGATATTCTATAAGGTTGAAGGTGTAAAATATTATGTACCAAATAAACAAAAATTCTATGTGTTCAGCATCTCAACCCTAATTTCAAAAATGGAGGTAGAGAAAATGCCAGGCTTCACTGAGGTGATTTGTTATGGTGCTAAGAAATTGAACTTTTGTAAATGAATGGAAAGCCAAAGTTGATCAGATTCCCAGTGTGCCTCTGGGCATCCTTGGAATGCTTTATCAAATAAATAAGTAAATAGAAGAGTTCTTTTTTTTTTTTCAAAGAAGGAAACATATATCAACAAAATAGAAAACAAATATTTTGTAATTCTGAGTTGTCAGGTGAATTCCTGCTTTTGATGGAATCTTATTCTCTCTTCAGATGAGTGATTTTAGTCTATTAAAAGAAAAACAGTTTAAGTTTTATAATGAAACCAACATATACAAATCCAGTCATGAGACTTAAAAGTGAGCCCTTTGAGGCTTACTTAGCTTTTAATGGTCTTTGCTATTATTTAGTTGCTGCCAAATGGGTACCAGCCAGGAATGTACCAGAACCCTCGCTGCAGAATGCACGTGATCTCATGCATGTGTTTCCTGGGCTGTCTGTCATTTCTGCTTCCTTCCTGAGGAATGGAAAAAAAATTCTCAGTTCTTATTTGAAATATGGAAAAAATAAAATACACATGAATAGTCTGAGAAAGTAATTTTAAATTAGCTTGTATGTCTTGCTATATTAAACATGAACTTGTAATAGTAAAAAGTTTTAGTCCAACTTTTATATCCTTGATCTGGTTACATCTACCTTTTAGCTGTGTCTATCTCACTGCCCTGGGACCTCCTTTTCCATGACTGCCATCCTCACCCCATTCACTACACTATAGTCATGAAGTGCCTGGCAACTCAATTGAATGTCACCTGCCTTTGTTTTCTCAACTGTCCTTATTTTGAATGCCATTTCACCAATTCCCACCCCAGACATTTTTCTTTTATTAGTGCTTTGTAGTTATACATAATAGCTGGGTTCATCTTGACGAAATTATAAGTGTATAAAAGTTGATTTACTTCATTTCCATCCCTGGTGCCCCCACTTTCTCTCTCCTCCTCTCTCCTTTTGGTCTCCTACCTTCTACTCCACTAGGCTTCCTTTCACTCATTTATTTATTTATTTTTAATTGGTTATATATAACCAATTAAAAATATATATAATATAATATAATATATATATATATATATAAAATTCACTGTGGTATATTTATACATGCACGTAGCATAATTTTATTAAATGCATTCTGCATTCCTTCCCCTTTCCCATCTCTCCTCCATCCCCCTCAATCTCCTTCAGGTACTCCACCATTCTTTCCTATGTCTTTAGGACATCCAGCCTCCCTGCCCTTGTTCCTCATTTTGCTCCAACTTCCACATATGAGAGAAAATATTCAACCCTTGATTTTATGAGTCTGGCTTATTTCACTTAGCACGATGTTCTCTAGTTCCATCCACTGACCAGCAAATGCCAAAATTTTATTTTTCTTTATGATCTAATAAAACTCCCTTGTGTATATGTACCACATTTTCTTTATTCATTCATCTATTGACAGGCATCTAGGCTGGTTCCATAATTTAACTATTGCTATACATATTAAGGTATCTATATCACTATAGTATGCTAATTTTAGTTGTTTTGAATAAGCAGCAAAGAGTGGGATAGCTGGGTCATATGGTGGTTTCCTTCCCAGTTTTCTGAGGAATATTTTCACACTGCTTTCCATAGTGGTTGCACAAGTTTACAGTTCCACTGACAGCATATGAGTTTGCCTTTTCTCCATATCCTTACCAACATTTGTTATTTGTGTTCTTGATGATTGCCATTTTGAATGTAGTGAGATAAAATCTTAGTGTAGTTTTTTTTTTAAGAAACACAAATTTACCAAAGGCAAATAAATAAAACAAACAGAAACTCAAATGCAAAACAAACAAACAAAAAATAAACCCCAAACACTTAGGAGAAAGTTCATGGATATAACCACTGATTTTACCAAGGAGCTTCTATGTGTGGTCAAACTTTATAGTTAACTTTGCTAGTGCAGATAGCATAAAAATAACCAATAATATTTTTTGAGCATTTACCATATGCCAGACAAAGCTATATAGCTTTATTTATTTTTTATTTGTTCTAATCAGTTATACATGAGAGCAGAATGCTCCTTGATTCATGGTACACAAATGGAGCACAATTTTTCACTTC